GATCCTTCATTTTGACAATATCAAATAACAACATCTTCACTTTAATATAAAGACTTTGGTTAATCCATACAACAACATCTTCACTATAAAGTAAAGGCTTTGGTTACTCCAAAGCTGCCCAGTCTAAAGGGGGCACCCAGATTTGAACTGGGGACTTCTTGATCTGTAGTCAAGTGCTCTACCACTGAGCTATACCCCAAAAACACAGTAGTTCAAAACCGCACGCAGGAAATTAGATCATTCATTTTGACAATATCAAATAACAACATCTTCACTTTAAAAGAAAGGCTGGGGTTACTCCAAAGCTGCCAAGTTCAAAGGAAGCACCAAGATTTGAACTGGGGACCTCTTGATCTGCAGTCAAACGCTCTACCACTGAGCTATACCCCCACGTAAACAGCAACTCAAAACCTCACACAGCTGGTCTATACCCCCACGTGATAAAAAGCTCAAATTAAGGAAATTAGATCATTAATTTTTACAATATCATACAACAACATCTTCACTTTAAAATAAAGGCTTTGGTTACTCCAAAACTGCCAAACCCAAAGGGAGCACCCAGATGTAAACTAGGGATCTCTTGAGCTGCACAGTCAAGTGCTCTACCACTGAGCTACAGCCCCATAAATTCAACATCTCAAAACAGCACACAGGAAATTAGATCCTTCATTTTGACAATATCATACAACAAGATCTTCACTTTAAAATAAAGGCTTTGGTTACTCCAAAGCTGCCAAGTCTAAAGGGGGCACCCAGACTTGAACAGAGGACCTCTTGAGCTGCAGTCAAATGTTCTACGACTGAGCTATACCCCCACAAAATCAGTAGCTCAAAACCGCACACAGGAAATTAGATCATTCATTTTGACAATATCAAATAACAACATCTTCACTTTAAAAGAAAGACTTTGGTTAATCCAAAGCTGCCAAGCCCAAAGGGAGCTCCCATATTTGAACTGGGGACCTCTTGATCTGCAGTTAAATGCTCTACCACTGAGCTATACCCCCATGGTGCAGAGAACTGAAAATCACACATAGGAAATTAGATCCTTCACTTTGAGAATATGTAAAGACGACAGCTGCACTTTGAAGTCAAGGCTTCGGTTACGTCAAAGAAGAGCATTCAAATGCTCCACCACTGAGCTATACCCCCATAAAATCTGTAGCTCAAAACCGCACACAGGAACTAAGATCATTAATTTTGACACTATCAAATAACAACATCTTCACTTTAAAATAAAGGCTTTGGTTACTCCAAAGCTGCCAAGTCTAAAGGGGGCACCCAGACTTGAACAGAGGACCTCTTGAGCTGCAGTCAAATGTTCTACGACTGAGCTATACCCCCACAAAATCAGTAGCTCAAAACCGCACACAGGAAATTAGATCATTCATTTTGACAATATCAAATAACACCATCTTCACTTTAAAAGAAAGACTTTGGTTAATCCAAAGCTGCCAAGCCCAAAGGGAGCACCCATATTTGAACTGGGGACCTCTTGATCTGCAGTTAAATGCTCTACCACTGAGCTATACCCCCATGGTGCAGAGAACTGAAAATCACACATAGGAAATTAGATCCTTCACTTTGAGAATATGCAAAGACGACAGCTGCACTTTGAAGTCAAGGCTTCGGTTACGTCAAAGAAGATAAGTCCAAAGGGGACACCCGGATTTGAAGCTGGGACCTCTCGATCAGTACTAGCATGCTCAACCACTTAACTATGGATTTGAAGCTGGGACTTCTCAATCAGTACTAGCATGCTCAACCACATAACTATGCTCTCATAGAGGGTGAGGTAGAAAATCACAGAAAGGAGATTAGATTCTGCAAGGTCAAGGATTTTGTGTTTTCAAAGCTGCAAGGTCCAAAGGGAGCAACCAGATTTGAACTGGGGACCTCTTGACCTGCAGTCAAATGCTCTACCACTGAGCTATAGCCCCATAAAAACAGTTGCTCAAAACTGCACACAGGAAATTAGATTCTTCATTTTGACAATATCGAACAACAACAATATCTTCACTTTAAAATAAAGGCTTTAGTTAACCTAAAGCTGCAAAGTCCAAAGTGAGCACCCAGATTTGAAATGGTGACCTCTTGATCTGCAGTCAAATGCTCTACCACTGAGCTATACCCTCACAGAAACAGCAGCTCAAAACCTCACACAGGAAATTAGATCCTTCATTTTGACAATATCAAATAACAACATCTTCACTTTAAAAGAAAGGCTTTGGTTACTCCAAAGCTGCCAAGTGCCAAGTCCACACCCAGATTTGAACTGGGGACCTCTTGAGCTGCAGTCAAATGCTCTATTACTGGTCTATGGTCTATAAAAATCTCTCGCTCAAAACTGCACACAGGAAATTAGATTCTTCATTTTGACAATATCGAACAACAACAATATCTTCACTTTAAAATAAAGGCTTTAGTTAACCTAAAGCTGCCAAGTCCAAAGGGGGCACCCAGATTTGACCTGGGGACCTCTTGATCTGCAGTCAAATGCTCTACCACTGAGTTATACCCACACAGAAACCGCAACTCAAAACCTCACACAGGAAATTAGATCCTTCATTTTGACAATATCAAACAATAACATCTTCACTTTAAAAGAAAGGCTTTGGTTACTCCAAACCTGCCCAGTCCAAACGGAGCACCCAGATTTGACCTGGGGAGCTCTTGTGCTGCCGTCAAATGCTTTACAACTGGTCTATACCCCCACGTGATCAACAGCTCAAAATCAGGAAATTAGATCATTAATTTTTACAATATCATACAACAACATCTT